CAGTGTTTCATTCTGTTGTGCATAGGGTTGCTGTGATTCACAGCCAACTTGGTAGCACCTAACAGCAATAAATGATATTTAATATTATTGTAGTTGCTGTTATTAGTGCCATCAAGTCACCTCTGACTTATAGCGACACTGTCTAGGGTATCCGAAGAGCAGCTGGTGATCTTGAACCACCAACCTTGCAGTCCAAAGTGACTTTGCCGTCTAGCACATTAACCCACAGCACCACACCAGGACTCCATTTATTATTTTAAGTACTGTAACATACCCAAGAGTGATGACAGTTTGCTATGTTCCTCACATCTGCTGCAATCTCATCACTGTTGTTGTTGTTGTTATATGCTGTGGAGTCGATTCCTACTCATAGCAACTCTGAACAGGGTTTCCAAGGCTGTGACTCTTTACGGGAGCAGAAAGCCTCATCTTTCTCCCACCGAACAGCTGGTAGTTTCGAACTACTGACCCTGAGGTTAGCAGCCTGATTCATAACCACTACGCAACCAGAGCTCCTTGTCGCTAGTTAATGTTAATTTTATTAATTGATTCCTCACTCCACCATTTTCCATTTCTAATACTCTAGTTAAATCTTCCTCCATTGTTCTTTGAAAAAACAAATAAACAATACTAGACAGAATAAATCCTCACCACCTAATTTTCTGAGAAGACTCAAGCCCTTCCATGTGAGCCTCCTACTGGTCACCCATCCTTATCAAAGAGCTTCTGCATCCTAAGCCCTTCTAATCTATGTACAAAAAAATATAGGTAAGAAAATTCCAAAGTGAGAGGCTTCTCTTGTTGTGATCCATCTCTTTTCACAACCCTTAGTGCATGGCCTAATAAAGTGTTGTTTTTCTATTGATTCTTATTCATATTCTTTCATGGTCATATATTAACCCATTAAATGAATATTTTAAAGCACCTTGTACATTCAGGGTACTGGCATATCCTCTCAGCCCAAAACCAAGTTCAAATCTCTCCTCACTTAATATTCTTTTCTCGCTTAATCCTATTTCAGTCTCAAGGTAGTATTCTAAATCATTTCTTCACTGTCTGTATTTACAACTCGAAATTGAATAGTCTACATTCAAACAGTCAATTTCCTGCTTTTATGAATTACTAATTTTCCATATGAAATCTTAAACAGAATCTCAACACTGTAAACAACTAAATAAAATTTTATTAATTCAAATTTATAGTATTATAAGTCCAGGTATAAACAATTTATTTTTGTTTATACTTTTATACGTTTAAATCTGAGATTGTGTATGTTGTGGTTAAGTTCCATAGAATCGATTCCAATTTACAGCAACTCTGTAAACTCAGAGAGCAAGTGGTGAGTTTGAACTGCCAACCTTGTGGTTCAAATCGAATTATGGTCCTGTACATTTTCCTGCTGTGCCACAACGGAACTCCGAGATTTTGTGTAGGATTTCCTTTTATGTGATTATTGTGTAATTTTTATAACATCTCTACCTACTCTATAAAACCACCAATTAAAGGAAATTATTGAAACCAGAAATAGAACACTTTTGAAATTCTCTGTTTAAAAGATTAAATAAATTTTTTTCTGGATCCTTATCTATTGTTTCTAACTCTACTCCCTAATTTTACAAAATACTTTAAAATTACATTTCATGTGGTAAGTCTTTTATAACTTTAAAGCAGTTTCATAAGATGATTGGCTAATATATATAGAGAAAAAGCAAAGTCAGGTAGTAACTTGGAGATATTTAAAAATCCACTCCACATTTCTGTCACTTCCCATTCTACTCAAATCATAGAATCTTAAAAACAGTGGCTATGCTGTACAAATACAATTTAAGACAAGGGTCATAGTCCTTTCCCCCCGAATACATTGGCACATCTATCTTTCCAGTTTTAAAATTCTGCAGCTTTCCTTGATTTGAATGGATTGTTGAGGCCATTTATTCTGCCTTTTTTTTTTTTTTTTAAATTCATGAAGAAACTTAAAGTTGAAATTAGAAAATTTACCTACAGTCAGATGGAAAGGTAAGTCACCACTGGTATCGGAAATTTGAAATTTTCCTTGACTGTCTTACATTTGTCTTCCATCATAAACTATTCTTTTTTCTTTTTTTAAAAAAACTGTTTTACTGTGAATTATGTGATAGTTTACATGGGAGAACATTAGCTTTACATTCGTCCTATCATATATAATTGCATTGTCATGGTTATAATCCCCACCTTGCATCATCAGCCAACCAAAAGGTACACTCCACAAGCCTGCCCCCTGGTTGTCAGCACATAGCTCCTCTCTGTCTCTGGATCTAGAGTCCGCAGCCACTCCATTTCTCCATGTCATCGTTTCTGCTTCCGCCTCCATCTCTGGCATCACTCTTTCTCTGGGTAGGGTCCCCTACTCTGCTCTACTCCCTTGATGTTCCCATGGACCTCCGCTCCTGGACTGAAAAATGAACCACTCCCCTTCTTTTGCTACAAAATGTCTACCTTTACCTTTCCAACCCTCTCAGTCAGTCCTGATAGTACTTATTCACTATTGTACCACATGAGTGCTATCCCCATCTCCTTTCATCATCCCCGCCCAGACAGATTGGATACTACTCAGTGAAGATTCTACCTTCCTCCATGCCTTCTGGATCTAGATTCCTTCTTGAAAACTTGTAAGCCAGTCAGTTCTTGCCTTTGAAGTCCCCCCCAACCCCCATTTTGGATAGCCAATGTCCAAGTTGCCCATCCATGTCTACTCTGTGTATGGAGGGGGTAGGGATGATCCTCACTGTAAAGATTTGTTCCCTTTTTTGAGCTACTGCATCCATAGGTGTAGGTCAAGTTCATCAAATTGTATCAGATTATGCTTTTCCCCCTCTTCTTTCTTCCTCTAATTGAGCTCTGATCATCCAGTCATTGAAGCCAGGTCAAGTGGGTATTTTCTGCAAGTGTGGGTGTTCTTGTGCATATGCCTTCCCTTCTTATCAGCTGGATGCTTCATTCTCCAATCTAGTCCTCTGTGGCTATGTCACTGACTCTGTGCCCAGGAGTCCCCAAGTATTGCCAGACTGCTGGCCAATCAGGTCTCTACCTGGGTTCACAGGAGTCTATTGAACTTTGTTGGGATTAGCTTGCAGCTTCATTGCTGTTTTTCCCTCACTTCCCCTTATCAGTGACCAACATGGTCACTAGTCAAAGCACATGTCTGCTCACGTATTCCCATTGAGTCTTAGTCTTGGAAGGGACATCATAAACTATTCTTGGTCTCTTGTACATACTTACTTTTCTCCCTTTCAGCAACCTTCATTAGATCATTAGCCTTTTCATGCCAAGGACCATATCATATTTGCTGTTGTATTCTCTCCACCATCAACAAAACAGAGTTGTCATATAATCTTGGTGTGGCACTACAGAATAATGCATTGGACCAAAAGGTCAGTTTGAACTGCAAGATTGGCAGTTCAAATCCACCAGCCACTCCTTGGAAACCCTATACAGGGTCACTGTGGATCAGAACCAACTCGACATCAGTTAACAACAACAACAGATATTAATTGAACATTCTTTAATTCTCCCATCCTTCCCTTCCTTTCTCTTTCCCTGCATTCCTCTCTCCCTCCCTGCTTGCTTGCCTTCCTTAAAAAGATTTTGCTCTTGGTACACCCATGGCTTCTTTTTCAAATTATATATATTTTACATATATAAGCATAGATACTCTACTTTGTTCCATATTTCCTCCCTTTTTCTTATTCTTCTCTTTATTCTGTTCCATAACTAGCTCTATCAGGGGTAGTTCTGTGAATTACTCCAATTAATACTTGTAAAGTGTCTGACACAGTGAGGAAGCAGACAGGAACCACTTCAGTTGTTGTAGCAAATACTTGTCCTATACTAGATTATTTTGAAAGCCACTGTATTATACTAAAATGAAATGTAGTGCCTGGATGCAAGCAAAAAGTAACACAATTTGAAAAGATAGTACATCAGTTTTGAACCAATAACATAAATTGCCCAAGGTATGGAAAGTACCCAGTAATTCCCTTCATATCCTAAGAGGTTCATGTCTGCTTCCTCATATATTTGTAAATTTTTGCTTTTCTTAAATATAAAATTTCATGATAAATTTATTTCTCAATTTGCTTTCTGCTTTGCTTTATTTCAAGTATTAAAACTGCCATTTTCCAATGCAGTGGAACACTCAATCAACCACATCTTAGTTTAAATTGATGATTATCAGTTAGCCTAAAGAGTTAAATGCTGTTAGGATTATTTAGCAAAGGCAAATAATTTTATTATTTTGTATTGTAGACTCAAAATACCACTTTTGAAACATATGTTGTGACTTTCAACCACCTTACAGTGATATTCTTTTTATAGACACAATGAAAGGAGCTTTATGTGATTAACCTTATGGTGGGCTATAGATACCAACCTTTCACTATATTTCATTTAAGTAAGATGTCTATTTTACTCTTCTTTTATAATCTAGCTCTGACAGCAATGAGATGATAATCAGTTCTGACCGTGAACTTACATGAATTCAAAACCAAAAATCAATGCTAGTTTTGCTTGAAAGACCCAACGGCTTATCTTGAAAACAAGTTTTTTGTTGTTTTTTTAAAATATTTTGCTTTCTTTTCAGTTTTGCTTTTCTCATTAATGTAATGTATTCTTCTTTTAAAAGAAGCCTACAGTCTCTAGAAATATAATATTTTCTTTATAATAGGCAGCAGACAAACGCTAGGCTATTCAATTTCAAGCATGAAAGGTAGAGTCGTTTAATGGTTTAATGTTGCCTTAGAAATTGATATGCTGCTCTCCATAAAAGTGTTGGAAGAAGAAAGGAACTGTGCTGTAACTGTTACTGAACATTTCAGAGGCAGACCTTTGGCATACTTTGACTAGGAACATCATATAAATGCATGCTTCCATAAGCACTGGGATCACATTCTCACTTTCTATCAACCCACTGTTTTCATCATTCAAGCCCTAGAATAATAGGCAGTGTGTGTTTTGTTTTTCAGTGAGCCCAACCAATCTGTCTCAATTTAACCTGCCTGGACCCAGCATGATGCGCTCAAATAGCATCCCTGCTCAAGACTCTTCCTTCGACCTCTATGATGACTCCCAGCTTTGTGGGAGTGCCACGTCTTTAGAGGAAAGGCCTCGTGCCATCAGTCATTCAGGTTCATTCAGAGACAGCATGGAGGAAGGTAGGTGTGAAAGGAAAGAAAGATGAAAGGACTTTATTTAACTCTGAGATGAAAATCATTGCATAACTCGTATCATAGGAGTCATAGAGAGTAAATAAATAACTCTCTAGGTAGCTTGACAATTTCTTTTGTATTATCTTCTGGTTTGTTTTTTTTAAATGCATTTTGAAATATGCCATAAATTGTTTAGATTGAATACTTGGATATAGAACATTTCAGGACAAAAAATCAGTGCTATACAGAAACACATAGCTTCAGAAGCTATTTTTCATGGTGTGCCAATGTTTTGTTTCACATCCCAGTTAAAGTATCAAAGAGATACATAAATTATAAAAATCCTCTTAGGAAAATATCACATGTTGCTTTCTATTTTTATTCTTAGACACTCCCTATGGTGTTGGTTAGATGAAGTTATTACTATAACATTTTAAAATTCATATCATACATACTTTTTGCTTTATAAGTTACATTTCTTTATCCAAAAGTAACAATCCAGCTAAACATAAATGTGATTATAATTGCAAAATTCTATGTAAATTCTTTATAATGAGTCTGTTTGAAAAATTCAGGAAGCATTATTGTTATGTGCCCTTGAGTCAGTTCTGCCTCATAGTGACACTGAATAAGGTTTCCAAGGAGCAGCTAGCTAGCAGTCCAGTGTTGATCCTACAACACCACACCAAGCATAGTTGATGCTATATATTTTTTTCTTTTATATTTATATGTCTTTTATATTGTTGTTGTCGTGATATGCCATGGAGTCAGTTCTAACTCATAGCGACCATGTACAAGGTTTCTGAGGCTGTAAATCTTTACGGGAGCAGAAAGCCTCATCTTTCTCCTGTGGTACAGCTGGTAGTTTCGAACTGCTGACCATGAGATTAGCAGCCCAATTTGTAACCACTACACCGCCAGAGCTCCTTTTTCTAAGTTATATATCCTCAAATGTTAAATTTACTAATGTGTTCTGTGACATAATGAATGATTTCCTTAAGTACATCTAAAGGAAAATCATACTATACATATTATAAAATATGTCAGCTAAGGATAAAATAAAATTGAACACAAAAATTCAACCTGATCAGAATAAAACCAGACATGAAATCAACCATATTCTCCTAGTGTAAATAATGATGCATAGAAGAAAGATCTCTAAATCTAGAAATAGACTGGAATTTAAGCCTCTTCCCATCCACTTATCTGTTTTGGGTAAGTTTCTTAACTTTACTGGCTTTAGTTTCCACATCTGTAACTTTGCAGGTTTGTTATGAGGATGAAATTAGAGTAAAAGTTCATTCCATCTATTTTTCTCTTCCCTCGCTACATTCTTATTCCAAATATCTTCTGACTAAAGTTTATGCCATTATGAAATGGACTCACATATTTCAGATCATCAGTCTATATTTAACACACTGGCACTAACCAGTCAACCAAAGTTGCCACTATTAACCAAACCACTGAGTTCACTGTGGCAGATAGTGAATTCTGTACCCTGAGTGTCTGCTTATGCCTCAGTGTTGTTGTTGTTGTTGTGTGTCGTGGAGTTGGTTCGACTCATAGCGACCCTGTACAGGGTTTCCGAGGCTGTAAATCTTTACTGGAGCAGAAAGCCTTATCTTTCTCCCGAGGAACAGCTGGTAGTTTCGAACTGCTGGCCTTGCAGTTCACAGCCCAGTTCGTAACCACTACGCTACCAGAGCTCCTCAGAGCACCACACTGTTGTTGTTGTTAGGTGCCATCAAGTCGGTACCGACCCATAGTGACCTTATGCACAACAGAACGAAACACTGCCCTATGTAAATAGACAAAATGTAACCAATCTGGAAGTTAACGTCATTATTGTCCTAAAGTGGTTCCATAGCTCCTTCACAGTCAGACTTGTAATATTGTAAAAGAAATTTGCTAAGCATAGTGAGAGCTTTCTAGGGTGCTTCCTTTATACATTTGAATAATACATAAAGAATGGAAAAGTAGTCTGCTTTTGTTTCTTGTTTGTTTTTTGTTAGCCTTCTTTCAAATATACCTAATGCTCTTAGTTTATACCAGTATTGAGAGGCTGAAAGAATGTCTTGAGAGTGGGAAGGAGTGGACAAGTCATTAACTGAAGTGCTAACATTTTGCGCATTTCATATAGTGGCAATATTTGCCCAAGCTAGAAATCTGGAAGTTGTCTTTCATTCTAGTTTTGGCCCACATCTTTATACCCAATCCATTTTAAAGAACTTGGAACATAAGTAAGGCTTCAGAAATTTCATTCCTTCATCTTCTAATTCCATTTTCCATGACTTTGTGAAGTCCTCTCATATTTCGGAAATGCAACCCTTTCTTTTGATCGCCACTTCTACTACCTTAGTGCAGCTTCCCAGCCCTCTCCAGACCTGCTTGTGAACTTCTCCATGTATTCTTGTAGTACCAAGTACATTATTCTTGATAATATTTATTTTTGTTAAATATCTTTCTACTTTTTAAAGTTCCTAGGACTATGCCTTATTTGTTTTTTTTTCTATCCCCCAGACCCAGCAGAAGCCTGTGCATAGTATGTGTGTTAAATATTTGTTTAATGAATGACTAAGCAGATATAGCTCTATATTATCACATTAAGGAAAGAGGTAGAATTTTTCAACAAATACTGTAAAGCCTAATTTTAGTCACATTTGGGTTTTAATATATTGGAAGTGCAGAGTGTTAACTGTTTGAAGATTGTGTTTTGATACATACCGCCAAAAGACAGAATGAGTGCAGTTTTCATTTTTGTGAGAAACCACCTTGAACTGAGTATATTTTTATTACTAAAATTACTGAAGGACCAATAATCCTACATTAAAAAAATAACATGATCAACTCATCACAGATAATGTTGAAATTATATATTGCTTATTTCTCTGAGAGTTTATAGAAAAACATTCCAAAAATAGATCTTTATTGTATAAAAGTGGAAGCAAATAAAAGACAAAAATATGTTATTTTTTAATGCAATTTTGGTTTGAGTTTCCATGACTTTTTGACTGTTATATTTGAGTTTATTCCATCTTTCAATATGTACAAAACATGCTTCTATAGCTCATGCTTTTTCAACCTTCCTAGACCAGGATGAAGAGATACATTACGTGTTTCTACATTTTGATCTCTAAAAATGACAGCAGTATTGTTCTCAGTGGTGTAGAGCTTATTTTTATTATTTTATTGCCATAGCTACCTGTTCTTCATGTTTTCAGTAAAGACCAGGGTTTATGAGTCGGCTTTCTTATTTGATCCCTTTGTTCTTTTTCTTTCAACAGTTCATGGATCTTCATTATCACTTGTCTCCAGTACTTCCTCTCTTTACTCTACAGTAAGTATTGAATTTGAAGAAAAAAAACAAAACAAAATCTTTTGCCTTTAAAAAACATTGTTGTTGTTGTTGTTAAGTACTGTGGAGTCGGTTCTGACTCATAGCGACCCTGCACAGGGTTTCCGAAACATGTTGTTGTTGTTGTTAAGTGCCATCGAGTCGGTTCCTACCCATAGCGACCCTACAGGGTTTCCGAGGGTGTAAATCTTTACGGGAGTAGAAAGCCTCATCTTTCTCCCACGGAGCGGCTGGTAGTTTCGAACTGCTGACCTTGTGGTTCACAGCCCGATTCGTAAACACTACGCTACCAGAGCTCCGAAACATAGAGGTTATTAAATAATTGACACTTACGTAGAAGTTTCCCAGTAAAATTGCGGTATAATCTGCATTACTTCTTGCCCATTAAGTGACAAGCACTTTACCAACTCTCTGTGGCCCACTTATTGTAAATGTCCTTTCATTATAATGCACTCATTATAATCAATAAATGATAGAAAGCTGAATTTCATAATACTGACTACATTTTTCTTTGTTGTTGTTTGGTTCGGTGGTTCATGGTAATTGGTATTTTCTCCATTCTACTTCTTTTTAAGTTCATACCTTAAAAACTAGTGTCAGAAAGGCCAAAAAGTAGTAGAAATGGTTTATAATAGATCTTTTGATATAGCGTGTGCTTTTTAAAAATTAAACAAATTATATTTTTTAAAACAGAAATATCAATGTTTCCATTTCTTTCCCCATTGTATGCCTAATAAATTATTGTCCACTTGATATCATTTGAACTTTATTTGGAAAAAAAAAAAGTCAACGCAAAATTATGTTTTATAAGAGTATTCTTTAATGAGTCTTATTAAAGAGTAATTTCCTGAATCTCAGAGTGATAGGAGTACTACGAATAATCCTTAATTCTGTATAGAAAGTTCACAGTTCTGGCTATGACGGTGCAAGTCAATAATTCAGCTTTAAGGATAATACTAGTTCTTCATTCATTTTCATGAGAGTCAGATGTTCTGGCCCTCTCTTTATAAAACAGTCTTAGTTATTTACTACTTTAGTGACTGAGGCTCAGACAATTCAATGACAGACACAGTATTTTTTTGTCTCATTTTTCTTCTTCTTTTTTTGACTTTTCAGAAGCATCGTTTTTTATTTTTGACTTCTGTAATAGAATGTCACAAAGTTTTTCAAGTTATTAGCTTAATTAATCTGCAGCATTCCTCATTTTAAAGTAGTTAGTACATGATCTCAGTTTTCATTTTAATGATTAAAATATCCAATCAATTCTATTTATGAAGAAATCACTATTCATTTTTAGATAAATACACTGGTTTAGAAAAGTGGATGATGAAGTAAGGAATTTATTGGAAAAAGTACCTAAGAGAAATCTGAGCTAATTTTACTCCTATTAGTCCAATGCTGCTGCTTGTCAGAGAAATGTCTTCTGACTTAAACCAATACAATTGGAATATAATATCAAAAAATACAGCATCATTATAAAGATACTCAAAGCAATATTTGGATAAAACTACTTTCATGACTTCTGAAAATGTCTCAAGAAGACTATATGCAAGTGTAGACATTTCCCCAGCGAACAGCAGTATTGTACACTAGAATTTTCTGTAATAACACATAAATACAGTCTGTTTATACACTGTGTCAAGTCATAGCACTAGACACATGTTGCTATTAGGTATTTAAAATGTGTCTGGTGTGTTTGAGGAACAGAAGTTTGATTTCAATTAATTCAAATCTAAACAGCTATATATAGCTGTTGTTGTTGTTGTTAAGCACCGTTGAATCTGTTCCAAATCATAGTGACCCTGCACAGTGTTTCCAAGGAATGACTGGTGAGTTTGAACCACTGACCTGTGCTTCAAACTAACCTTGTGATCCAGTGCTTTCCTGCAGCACCACACCAGGATTCCATATAGGTGTTGTTGTTGTTATGTGCCGTGGAGTCAATTCCGACTCATAGTGACCCTGCACAGGATTTCCAAGGCTGTAAATCTTTACAGGAGCAGAAAGCCTCATCTTCCTCCCACAGAAAAGCTGGTAGTTTTGAACTGCTGACCTTGCGATTAGCAGCCCGATTCGTAACCTCTACGCTACTAGAGCTCCTTTCCATATAGTTAGTGACTTACTTGTAAATTGAATAATACAGGTCTAAAGCAGATCTTCACATTTGTTCTTTTCCAGTTCAGTTGTAGCCAACAAAGTGAAACCAGAATATATTTGAATTTGTACAAAGTGTTTATACCAGAATAAAAGCCAGCATGGGGACAATTACAGATGAACACCCTGCTGAAAATGAAATCTCCCTGCTAGAAGGGAAAGACAATGTGTAAATTGCAGAGCAACCAAATTTCTTGGCCTTCAAACTGAAAATAGTGGTGGTCAGCTCCATACCTTTGACTGCGTGTTGTTTTCCATAAACTTGGCAGTAACCCAGTGTCCTGTATCAGGCTCCTGAAAGTTCTCATTGTGCCTCTTCAGAGTCTCCCATTCCAGGACTTCAACCCATCATTTTCCCCAAGCCAGTTATCGTTCTGATACCCCTACATTTAAATAATTGGGTATATTCAAATTTTGCTGATTTGACCATGACTGAACTGGTTCAAACCTGTGTGAAAACCTGGTCTAAAAGGAATAAAACTATTTTATCTAGTTGTCTGGAGTTGACAGATACTCTTAGGAACCCCCTGTGTGTTAGAATAGAACTGTGCTCCATTTGGTTTATAGTGACTGATTTTTTAAAAATATATTACCCGGGCTTGTTTCAAGATGCCTTTATGTAAACTCAAACCTCAAATAATTCAGTGAGCATGTTAGCAGTTTGCAGCACCCAAGGGCTCCATTTATATAAATGTCTATATGAAACATACCTGAACAAGCACACAATCCACATAGAGTACACAACCCACACAACTGTAAATGATTAGCCTTCATAAAATAATTAATGCACTTAGAAAAACTGTAGAAAGAATGCAGTTGGTGTTGTGGCCTTGAGTTGGTTTAGACTCATAGGGATTCTATGCACAACAGAAGAAAACACTGCTCAGTTCTGCTTCATCCCTACAATGCTGTTCTATAGCCCATTGTTGCTACCACTGTGTTAATCCATCTTGTTAGGAGTCTTCCTCTTTTTCTCTGACCCCTCCACTTTACCAGCATGATAGTCTTCTCCAGGGATTGGTCCCTACTGACAACATGTCCAAAGTTCAAGAGATGAGATCTCACCATCCTCACTTCTAAGGAGCATTGTGGGTTTACCTCTTCAATTACAGATTTGTTTGTTCTTCTGCCAGTCCATGGAACTTTCAATGTTCTCTACCAAAACCATCATTCAAATGCATCAATCTTCTCTGGTCTTCCTTATTCATTATTAGAATTTATGCTGCATATGAGGTGATTGAAAATATCAAAGTGGCATCTTTGCTCTTGAACACTTTAAAGATAAGACGTCTTGTGTAGCACATTTGCCTGATACAATATATCCTTTGATTTCTTGACTACTGCTTCCATGAGAGTTGGTGGTGGGGTCAAGCAAAATGAAGTCTTTGACAGCTTCAATCATCTCTCCATTTATCATGAAATTAATTAGTCCATTTGTGAGGATTTTCATTTTATATACATTGAGGTGCAATCTGTACTGAAGACTGTTCTTTGATCTTCATCAGTAAAAATTCAAATCCTCTTTGCTTCCAACAACGGCCTATCATATATGTATTGTACATTTTTAATGAGTATTCCTTCTATCTCATTGCCATGTTCTTCTTCACATAATCCAGTTTCTCAGATTTGCTAAATATACAGTTTGAAAATATATGGCGAGAGGATACAATCCTTGTGCACATCTTTCCTGATTTAAACCATTCAGCATCCCCTTGTTCTGTTCAAAGCACCACCTCTTTGTCTATGTACAGGTTCCCCGTGAGTACAATTAAGTGTTCTGGAATTCCCATTCTTTGCAATGTTAGCCATAGCATTTCTTGATCCACACAGTCAAATGTCTTTGTATTATCAATAAAGCACAAGTAAACATCTATGCTTTCAGCAAGATCCATCTGATGTCAGCAATGATATCCCTCATTGCACATCCTCTTCTGAATCCAAGTGGAATTTCTGGCAGCTCCTTGTCAATGTATTGCTGCAACTGTTTTTGAATTATCTTTAGAAAAATTTTACTTGCATATGATATTATTGAAATTGTTTGATGATTTTTGCATTCTAGATCACCTTTCTGTGAGTCAATTCTCTATTAGGTACAGCTTGTACGTCCTCCTTCAGTACCATTGACGCTGGATCATATGCTACCGCTTAAACAATTGAACATTGACCATTTCTTTTAGGTACAGTGACTGTGTGTTTCTTGCATCTTCTTTTGATACTTTCTGCATCATTCAATATTTTTCCCATTAGAATCCTTCAGTTGAGGCTTGAAATGTTTCTTCCATTATTTCAGCTTGAGAAATGTTGAACATGTTCTTCCATTTTGGTTTTCTAACTCCAGGCCTTTGCACATTTCATTATAATACTTGACTTTATTTTCTTGATCTGACCTTTGAAATTTTCTGTTCAGCACACTGGTAGCATTGTGGTTACGAATCATGCTGCAAACCTCAAGGTCAGCAGTTCAAAACTACCTGCTGTTCCGTGGGAGAA